AAAAAAAACTCATTCCCCGAAATCCAACCTAGTCACGCAGAAGGGCCCTGGGGTCGAGTGGAATTGTACCAACCGTCAAAATACCAGAAGATACACTGCCATTGACATTGACCGGCATCGAACCTATGGTGACAACGTTGATCGGCCCGGTTTCAGATGATGCCTTAGCATCTACAGCTTTCGATGATGAGTGAACTCCAGACTCTCCCTCTCCCTCATCTGAACGTATACTCAGCGAACTCATTTTTAATTCATCAACCGTTTTCAAGTCGGCATTAGCATCTAAAGGTTGCTTCTTGGCCAACAGGTCTAATCCAGCATCTCCCGGAACATTGCTTTTGTTCACAATAGTCAAAGTGGTGGGATTATCTCTGGTAGAATTCAGGCCACCATTGGAAGGATTGTGTACAGGCTGCAGTTTGCGAGGAGGATCTATTAGCGAGACAAGATATGGGTTCTCGTAGCTTTTCTTTATTAGCCTGGCCCGCTCCTCCTGCATGATCCGCTGCCTGTTCTCATAGTACATGAAGTCATCAAGCAAGGAAGTTCGTGACTTGTGGCTCTTGTATATCCTCAGCATATCCAGACCTTTCTTGTAAGGTATCTGGAATAATAACAACAACAATATCAATAAATTGTTACAAAGTGTGAAACTGAGTCCAGGCATAAAGAATAAATGCACGAGGACAGATCTTTATGGTACCTCTTGCGTGTCCCTGCTGTTAGTCACTGGCTTGTGCTCATTGTTCTCTAGTATGATATGCCGAAAATGGGTATTTGGCAAGTCTTTTATAATGTGCCACTTCACAGGGAAGCTACCACTCCATTTATCTTGCTGCCAGAAATCCATATTCCTGTGGAAGTCCACAGGTCCAACCATCTCCGCCAAACCACAGAACTGGCCACTAGCATTAACCTATAGTGCATAATAGAAGACAAAAGAGCACCAATCACTAACAGGATGGTAAAAAGATAGAAAAATACTTCAGCAGCAGCAGCAGTAGCAGCAGCAGCAGCAGCAATAATAATAATAATAATAATAATAATAATAATAATAATAATAATAATAATAATAATA